CTTTGTAAGGAGGCTTTTATTATACAGTTGTACAGTGTTTCTTGCCCAAACTAGGAAGGGCTTGAAGGAAAGGTAGTATTTTGGGACATTCATCCTAAAAGGGACACTGCTTTCTTTCTTAAATCAGCCCACTTGATCTCATTATCTGATCAGAGAAAGACAAACTTTGGTATCTTGAACGGCACAGACTTGAAAGACCGTGAAAGGGGCGAAGCATTCATAGTCAGGACTTGTGTTTAGATATGGTAGGTAGTTCAGAGAGTACTCGAGGAAGGAGAAGCACCTTCCAAAGCGTTGACACCCCAGCTCACAGACAGGAGAAGATGGCTGGCACTGCCTAAGTAAAATGGGAGTTTCAGGCTCAGTTTGTTCCCCTACCTTTGCACTAACTGCACACAGCTCAAAGCACTGACAGAAACTTCATACAAACATTCAGAAAAACCCTCTCACTCCAAAGGGATTAAGTACACATATTTTTTCCTCTACTTCTGTCAGACTCTTATTCCTTAGCTTCTTGAAAAACAGAAGGCGCTGCTTTGGGAAGGAGTGGGCGCTCTCTCCTTCCTGGTTTTGGTAAGACCTACAGAAACTCCATTTACCTCTGCAGTAAAGCAGCTGTGATAATAGTCTTGTCCATAACCATCCACTTCCAGCTTTCCTAGCAAGCAAGGATATTGCTTTGTTGCTGGAATAGGGACACCCTGTACTAAAATTTACTACAGTTAAAATCAGCAAATACATTTTCATCCTTTTAACTGAATTATGCTATTTCAGACTTTATCGACTGATTTATCTTCCATCAGTTTCCTCCATACTTCGATTCATGCTCAGTGGCATGCTGCTATCTTAACACTTGCAAACCATGTATCAGGTTGGTTATGTTGCAACTATTTGTTTATTTACATTTATTTTTCAACAAGGGAGTCAGAATAAAATATGACTAGAATTATTCTTCCACAAATCCTCGCAGGGAGTTCACAAACCTTCCCCTGCCCTCTCTACTCCAGCTCCCTTGTTATTTTTCAGTTTCATAAGCTGGTTAGATGGAGTCAGAAATACACACAAAATGATAAGAGCTGTCTTGGCAGCCTTCAGTGAATTCCCACCATAAGCACTTTCACATCCTCCGGCAAGCAAGCAAGCCAAGGTGTTTTGTAAGAGCAACCCACAAATCTTAATGAATACATTTAAGAAATTAACAGAAGCTTTTATCATTTAAGCTGCCACATCTTGCAACGGTGTAAAAACCTCACCTCCAGATTCAAGCAACCAAAAGCAGCTTTTCACACAAAGCTGTTATCAACAGACCCTGTATAAGAAGGTGCTTAAAATGTACACAAGCAGAGAAATAGAGAGAATTATGTTTCACCAGTTAGTCTGATGAATTTTGCAATGGAAGTCTGAAAGTCTAGCACAACAGGAGAGTTTTTCTGTAGAACAGAAAGAACAGTATTTTTTTTAATGCTAACTCTATTTTAAGTCTCTTCTAGCACAGATCACAGACCAGTTCTGTACTAATACTGTTGCTGAAGTTAATCATCAGAACCTGCTATTTCCCCTAGCTCTAAAGGACAGAGTGAAGAGAGGCAAGGCAAGAATTAAAACAATTGCCTCATATGGTGCAACCCACCTTCAACCAGAATTCAGAACTTCATAAACAACATGTTTTTGGTTTGTTACTGGTGGTGAAAGAGCACTTTGCTTGTCCTCCTTACCTATTTGGAAAGATAACTGAGTGAAATTAACATATCCCAAGTTGTCCCCTCACCTTAGATAAACAAAAAAGGAGAAAGAAGCCAAAAGATAGGGTAAGTTATTTTTATACAGCTCTTCAACAGACCTTGATAAAGAGATTCATCAGTACTGCCAAAGTACTGGAAGCTCCCAGAGGACCTGGTGCTCCCTATCACATAAACTGGACTCTTTTCTGCTCAGTACAGTAATGGAAAGAAGACACCAGGGGCAAGTGAGCTCTGTGGCAGGCTCTGCAGCTCTTCAGCATGTGCTGAAGGGCTTCCAAGTATGGTCAGCTCTGATGCAGCATAGCTCAGACACAACCACCTGCTCCACATCTCTTTCTGGGGACACTACCACTGTCAGTCCCACACTCCAACCATGCTCAAGCTCTTTAAGCGCAGACGGAGTCAGCAAGGGAACGGTCTAAGAAGTGGGCAGTCAATGCCCGTGCAAAAGATGGGATAAACTGGCACATAAAAACATGAGGCATACAATACTATTTTCAAGAAGCTGTAGATGCCTGCTGTGAACCAAGACCCCTTACATAAAGATGTTTCCTACGGGATGCTGATTGCCTATTTACACATTTCTTTTTCTGATTTTCAGTGAAACATTTATCCCTCTTAGTACACAGTTACATGAAAAATGCCACTAAGTGCCAATTTGACTGCTCCAGTTACTGAGCAACTATTTTGTTCTTCTCCAAACTGCTTGCTGAAAAAGGGTAGGGAGACATTTAATGACAGGGTGTCTGAGGTGACCGTGTTAGGCTCTCACAAGACAATAGAAAAATGAAGCACAGCCTTTTGTGCATTTCTGCCTGATCTAACTCAGGAATTTCCTTCATATAAATGCAAAATATTCATTAATATTTGGGGGAAGATTTGAAAATAAAAACTTTTTTAATCTTGTTTTATAAATATTTTTAATGGCAATCTGGATATTTTATTCAGTCCCACTTCCCTACTGTTTATTAAACCACCGATTATAAACACCATATCTGTATGCTAAACTGGCACTAATTTTGCTGTCACTGAATTCAATGGTGAACAACTCAAGGAGTTCACAAGTAGCTGGCTTGATCCTTTTGTTCAGAATTTCCAAGATACACATTTTAAAAGTATTGTACTGATCAATACTGACTGCAAAAAATTTCTCTTCACCTTTACCTTATTTTCCTCATGCCCAAATATCCCAGGTTGCTTACCTTCATTTGCAAATTCTCAATATATACTTAAGCTGCAGGCTTTTCAGAGCAGGTAATATTTTATTATTAGTCTGGGTATTACACATCAATATGGTGTTCTAATTTCAGGTGTTTCTGGGACTTTGGACTATGGATAGATCCAGACTATGAAGCTCAGGTGTGAACGCTAATTTTGGAGGAGTTTGAGGTTCACTTCAGGGACAACAGAAGGACACTCCTTTCTAACGAAACATTCAGAGTTATTTGTAGCTTACAGTGGCATTTCACTGTTACCACACACACCATGCCTGTGATTAGTTTTTGAAGGAGTGTACCTGAACTGTGAACTCATTTACTGATCTTCCTAACCATCAATGGTCAAATTTAAAGAATAAAATAAACACCATCTATGAGGTTGCTGCCTTTTTATAATATCATATAGTCATTTCCCCAAAAGTGTATCATTACTAAAATATGATCTACATCAACAATTCTGCAACAAAAAACTACTGAGGTCAAACTTAGTGATCATGCAAGAGCATGATTTTTGTGAGAAAAGTTGTACCTGAAGATACTAAAAAGCAACCACCACCTAGGGAACTTTCTGGAAAGTAACTTAACATGTTACCACACAAAATACAACTTTGTGCATTCTCCCTCATACTTCCCAGTTCCTCCAATAATGTCGTGTTGAAATAAAATGCCAATTTTGAAAAAATCTAGCAAGCATTAAGCTTTAAAGAGCTAATATCAGACATTTCTCATCGCTGCTCTCATTTAGCTTCCACCTACTTCAGCTCTCTAAATGCAATTCTGAAAGCTTCAGACACAAATAAAATTTACCCTGAACTGTTGTTCAGTTGCACGAAGTTTTTACCAGTCTTCCGTCAAAACTCTGAAGCAATATCCTGCTTGGCTCCATGCAGGATTTTTCACAATGACTGCCCTCTTCTAATGCTACCCCAAAGAGCAGAGACTATATCAGAAGGAGGCAAGAGAAAAGGTTACCATCCCAGCAAGCTAATCTGCATTGACTACATTTCTGCTCTGTTTAAATCTCATTTGTTCCAGGAACTCGCCTCTAAACAGAATATATAAACACAAAATATGCAGTAGATATCTCTGAAAAGAGCACTTATCAAGAGCAAGTAAGTGTTACCAAAATATACTTCCATGGGTACTATGTCATAAGCACAGCTGAGAGGAAGGACATGTGGGTAAAAGGAGCCTGCCAAAAGATTACTTACCACTCTCTCCACAGACCCTCAACTACACATTTTAAGAACAAAAGCTTGTCTCTTTTAGCACACAGCAAAGCACCTTCTAGTCCTCCCAACAAGAGAGCAAGTGTTGGTTTTTTTTTCTTTTAATACAATTTCACCCACATCGTCAGACACAGACTGATGATATCAGGAAAATAGTATGGTAATGTGGTTGTTGCAGGTACTTCTGTTTTACACATACCTCCACCTGGCTGTAAAATAAATAAATGAATAAATGGACGGGCTGTGATTTCCCCCTTCCACAGGGACATGAGCACTTGCCATTCTCTCCAGCTACTACTTCGCAAGATACAAAGAGAAGCTCATGAAAATGCATCTGTCAGAAAGCATCAGCACAACAGGATCCAGTGCAAATGCACCTTCTGCTCCTGCCATTATTTCCCCCTGAATCTAACACCTTAACGTGACATTTGTAGTATGGTCTGAACTACCTCTTACACACAGCATAGATTCTCACCAAATTGTTGTAATTAAACTCTTATCAGAATAAATTTCATTTCTTATCTTCTTCCTACCTATACCGACTCAAGTAGTATTTTACTCCAGGAAGAGTCCCAGGGGGCTTTGCAGCAGAAGGGAGAGAAATGGGATTTGTCATAAGAAAAGAAGAGTTTGATCCAAAATTCTACACTCTGTCTACATCTAGCTCTGCCCTTACTTACCTGATGAATAAGCAAAACACTAAATGTGATGGCAGTTAATCTAGTTATTTTGACTCTCAGTGCAGAAGCCTACAGTATCAGCTCATACAACCCACAACAATTATGGGAGGTATAAAAAGCAGCCCTGCTTACCTTTCATCCCAAACTTAGAGTGCCTTCCAAACTTCAGAATAATGAGCATTATCACTAAGCCAGTGCACACCAGTGCTGCAATTCCCACCACAACATACACCTAAAAAAAAAGAGGACACAAACAGATCTGCTTGTTTTGTTCTCATGAACTACCATCAAAGACATTCAGCATACATTCAGATTAACCCAGTTAGGTAAAGAGATTCATTTCAGCTGGGAAAACATTTGCACTCAGATCAAAGAGTACAGAAAACAGCCACTTGTTGAGGTTTATTCCATCCTGCAGAGAACAGAGATTCAGACACCACTGAGAACAACTTTTTCAACAGCCTACACATTCAAGGCAGGTGGGAGGGAGCGCACATCACCCCTTTCCTTTTCAGCAGAGTGGCATGTTATAAGAAAACACGTAAGAAAAGAACGTAGGAAAAACATTTTTACTGTGAGGGTGGTTGAACGCTGGTACAGATTGCCTGGAGCAGCTGTGGAGTCTCCATCCCTGGAGAAATCAAAACCACAGTGGACACAACCTTGAGCAACCACGCTGGCCCTGCTTTAAACAGGTGGGATTGGACAAGAGGATTCCCAGAGGTCCTTTCCAACCTCAGATGTTCAGTGATTCTGTCATCAGAGGAAATAAGGCTGTCTGGGATCCTCCCACTTTTTCAGCACAGTGTCCCAGCTCACAGTCTGCTCTCTGGTTCATGAACTGCACAATGCTCTCCACCGCCTGCTCCTTTACGGAGTCACTGATGCAGGGAGGCTGCCGTATCAACCAGGCTAGCCACCCACTTCCCATCTGCAACAGTTTGGTTCCGGAAAGCATGAGAGGCAAGGCAGCAAAGGAGGAGGCCCACCAATTCAGCTACTTAGACTAAAATCCACTACAAATTATTTGATCAAAAACCTACATGAAATCATGTTTTTAAAACATACAATTAGAATTTAAAAGTTCATTGCAGTACATCCTCTCTGTAAGCAGGAGCTGACTCCAGGACTGGAATTCAAACAACAATCTTCAAATTACCTTGGATGTCTTTGTTTTGTAAATAAAGAGTTGCTCTCCTTGGCTAAAATTAGAAGCAAAGTCTTAGGCTGAAAAATTACAGTTAGTTGTTTGGAAAAGCTGAAACAAAATAACTAGCGATTTTACTTGGACTGAAAAGTGATTCACTCTTTCAAAAAATGGGGAGAGGGCAAGAGTGGGGAGCATTGATTTTCTTTTTTTTCCTGTTTTTTTTCTGAGTTTTGATCACAACACAGTAATAGCTCCAGAGTTCTGGTAGCTCAGGGTCCCATTACAATCTCCACATTTTTGGGAGTTGTATAGCCAGAAAGCCCGCCAAGATTACAGTTCAGGAAACAATGTATATACTTACAGTGATGCTATCTTCATTCTCTTTGTTGGAAACATCTGTAGAAGTGATTTGATTACTGTTATTTGTGGTGCCTCCAAGATCATTAGGCGTGGTTTCATACTCTTAGGAAAGGAAAAAAGGTTGCTTTTATAATTCCGTAACCTTAGAGGGGAAAGGGTTGTCTTTATTATTTCTGCTCTGTAAGACAGTAAGGCTGCTAACAACTCTCAGGACTCTAAGCTCTTTGGAAACAATACATAATTGCTAATGTAGCTGGAACATTTTGGGGGGGGATCCCTGTGGCAGATAATCAAACAAATGTGTTGTGACTAATACAACTTAAAAAGAGAAGTGGTCTACACCATAATGTGTATCTCTACTGGAAAAACTAGAGTTAAATAAGCACTCCATCCATAAAGCTATTTTTATGCACTTCTGACTTCCCATTAAAAATGAAAGACTGCCCTCTACACTGAACTTCTCCAGCCTTGTATTCAGCCAAAGATAGGACAATCTCAGAAATTAGCTTGGGGACTTCCATTTAGCTGCGAAGAACTTGGCAGATGGGTTCCTAACTAGTTTATTGCTATTAAATGTGAAATAGCTGTTTTCCTTTGTTTAAAAAAATAATAAAAAATACCGTTGTATGCTCCGAGGCTACAGTCTAGCATTACAAACAGTCATACAGGTAAACCTTTAAAAAATTAGGCGCTTGAGAGGCTATGAAGAAATTTATCAAAACAATTCCACTGACAGTCTGCGGGGGTGAATCGAGAACCATCAAAAAGAATGAACATGGCTTAATTATTTATAATTATTTTAAAATGAAACACAGATATTTACAGTCCATGTTTCCTGCCAAAACTATTCAAATGAGATAAAAAGAATTAATAATACACATGTGAACTTAAAGAAACATGCATTAAAATAAAAAACGCATATATTTTATGATTACATCTGGAAATACACATAACATTTCAATTTCATGGCCACAGTGTGTACAGATGAAAGAAACAAACAAGGGCAATAACTGCATCTGTTACAAAATGCACCTCCAGCATTGTAATTTAAATTTGCAATTAACTGCGTATTTCTTTACATGTTTCAATTAAAATCAGTGCCATAAGCCTACAGATGAAATTTTAACTGTGAATTTGAAAATGCAGAGCGCAGAGGCATAGCTCTCACTAACTACAGACGCAGGAACTCTTCTGACTCCTGAGCTGCTGCTGAGCAAGGGCAGGGAGGGCCTGTGCCTCTGCAGAGTTTATCTTCTTTAGCTCCCAAGGCCATTTTGGAGAGCTCAGCTGGCAATGCTAGCAACAAGCTGCACTGGGCTTTTGATCTTCATGCATGCACAAACACATTTGCTTTCTGCAAAGCACTCAGCAGGCTGCAGATTTTTTGGTATATGAAGCTATGCAGCTACCTCTGGTATCAGTGCTACAGTCAGTACAGTCAGGTTGTCTAATCAGCTCACGTAGTCCATTTTGGCTCCACACCATCCATACCGAAGGATAGCGCTCTTCCAAGCCAAAATACATATTAAGGATACAGAGCTTCACGAGAAACAAAATTTAATTTCCTGTTTTTTTACCATTTGAATTCTCCAACGCAGCACTGCCATCTCTATGCCTATAGCTTCCTACTCAGCACAGTGAGAACAGCAGCAAAAGGCAAACGAACAGCACTCCTTACTCGGGGCAGCACAAGCCCTGCCTGAATGGCTCGCCTGTGCAAGCAGCCTGGACACTTGGACAAGGGTCTGGGCAGACCAGACCATCTGCCAGTGCAACTGCATGCTTGGCCGCAGCAAAGGAGGAGACTGCTGCTTCATCCATTTGCAGGCAGAGCCCGCTTTGTAACAAGTATCTCAGCCTACCAGATTGCACTTCCTTTATAATTAGCTGGGAAAATCTTCAAAAAGCTCTGGCTCTGTAATATGAACTTGCAAGAGGGAAATTTTTTTGCTCTTAATTTTGCCCGTAAATAATGGTGAGCAAAAGCCAATGTTATTTGCAGTTCTGTTTATGCTTGCATCTTCACTAAGCTACTGGAAATCACACCCTGAAGGACCGAAGAGAACTGTGCAGTTTCAGGTCTGGTCTGTAAATCCTCTGAACGCTCTTTTATATTAAAATGGACAAGAACTAAAGTAGGCCATGTCAGTACGCCAGTGTTGCGTTGCCATTCCACCCTGTGTAACTGTGAAGCGCTTGCGTTTGAACTAGTGCCAGATCTTCAAAGCCTCTTGAAATGGGTGAGCCAGGCAAGGAAAACACGTGCAACAGCTATCCAGCCAAAACTGGGAGATTCTGAGTTAAACAAATTCCTGTTCACTTCCCTATAAAATCCTAACATAGACATGGCGCACTCTGATTCACACAGGGTCATGCCTCTTGATACACACCATGTGGGACTCGCATCACTTCAGGGCCAGGTCCTCTGCTGCCATGTACCTCATGCAGCCACCTGCAACTATGCCAACTGCGGCTGAAGGCAGCCGAGGCCAGGCAGTGTTTTACAGCCATTTCCCAAACAAGGCGCGCAGCAGCTGGGGTACAGACAGGAGCACTGTCGCACCAGCACCGGGGGGGCACTCTGCACAGTCCTCTGGGGAGTCAGGTGATATGGGCCGTGTTGCCTCCCCTCATGCTTACAACCACATTAGAAGCAGCAGCGTGGCACAAAGATGTGAACTTGGAACCAAAGAAACTGGCTTTGCATTTTATTTCCTGCTCAGCCCTGGGGTGAGTCACTTTGTTTCTCTCAGTTTCTTCCCAGAGGGGATCAGGACAGTCTCTCCCCTCTGCCTTTTCTGCCAGGTGAGCCGGACGCACGAGCGACCGCTCTGTGCTTGCAGCAGGCAGAGCGCCCCGTGCAGCCAGGACTCCCCCCACCAAGCACGATGTCACGCAGCCTGCTGCAACCTCATCAGTTCTCCTGTTTCCCATGGTATGCTCAAAACACTTAATGGAAAAAGTTTGGAAATGACCTCACATGGAGTGCGAGACACAGAAGGTCAATTCCCAAGGGAGAGACCAACCCAGCTATGAAGGGCTTTACTCCATGCACAGGGGTGCTCGAGGCCAGGGTCCCCTGCCCTCTGTTGCCTCCATCTCCATCTCCTCACCTCCCAGCCCTGCCTGGCCATGAGCCCTGCTGATGGGATGGCCCTGCCTGCCAGGCCCTGCCCTGATAGACAGCCACGGGGAGCCCCCAGACCTGCAGCACCCCAACACTTGCTGGGAAGTACCTTGCAGCTCCCATTAACTTTAACTGTAGCCAACTGACTGACAGAGAGCTAGTCCCAGTGCCCAGCAGGATCAAATACTCTGCCACCATTTTTACCTGTTATATTTGCAACATGATTAGCACAGGGCTCTGAAAAATGCATTTTAAAGGGAAGCCTGAGGGGGCAGGGAGTGTGTGCTTTAAATCTTCCTTCCAACATAGTCTTAAGTTTTGGGTAAACAGGTTAGCATAAAGATAGAGTGGCCTGAAAAAAAAGTCAGGAAAACTGCTTGGTTTCTGGGGGAAGCTCATCCCAGGGGTCCCACTGTCAGCCATGCAGGCAGTGGTTTTCCAAAGAAGTGTATCGGTTCCTCAACTTTCCAGACGGCCTCATTTATTCACCTCACTAACTGGACTTGTGAATTTGGCCTAATTAGGGAAACACTTTGGACTGCGAAGTCTTTCTCAAAGCAAGCACTGAGTCACTGAAACAAAGATCAAAGACAGCAGTTTCAAACAGCAGAAAGAAAAGCCAGGAATAAAAAGGAAGGCTGCTTTCATCATTCAGGACTAGGTCGTGCAGGCTGTGATGCACCAGCACAACTTGAAGTGCACATCTCAGCAGAAACCTACCCAAGACAATCGAAGCACAGCACTCACATGGTTAAAGCCATACACAGGCATCAGGACCCTGATAAACAGCCTAGAATCAAAATCTTCATGCATACAGCTTATGTAACAGAACACACGTAAGAAATTGCGCAAACCATCAGCACCTTCCCACCCCCCCCAACCCCCCCCCTCCCAAAAAGGAATTTGGAAAGATAAAGAGGGGAAGCTATCCTTTAGTATTTCTAAATGCTTAAAGCCAAATCGATGCTTCAATTGCACATTTGCTAAAGTTTAATGACATGGAATGGAATCAAAGCAATAACATTTAAATCAGCTTAAGGAAACTTGAGTGATAGGCCATTTCATCCAAATAAAAAAGTACTCCAAACAGGATCCAGCTTCTGCTGGAAGGTAAAGGGGTTTTGGGTACATTGGTTAGGATGGATTTTCCTACTCACCAGAAGTATGCCAGAAGTATTATGTAAAACTAGCCAGTTGCTCTTCATTCTGCAGCTTCTATTCTAGTGCACACTGGCTTTCACTAGGCACAGACCAAAACATTTCGCCTAACTAAAAAACTAATGTGAACACTGTGTCATCAAATCTTCTGGCGCACACTCAGATATCACTAAGTTGATGGTCTGCTTATGCAAGAGAGATTAAGGGAAGGTACCCATGAGCGGACAGAGCACAATAAATTGCCTACAGGAAAACTTACTTGTGCCAACCTCATTTTTAAGTGGGATTTAGGGGTACATTTTTGGAGGCAAAACAAGTGTGGAATCATTCCTGAAAAAATAAATTAAGTTATATAAGGAGAAATCACGAACTCTCTTTCCTCCAAGAAATGGCTCCAAAAGGTTCACAAAATCTCATGCTTGTGAGCTACATCAAACAGCTGTCATCCTACAGGATCAACTGCAACCATTTGTAGCAGTGGATTTATGCTTCTTCTAACGTGAATCAAAAGCAGCAGAGTAAGTAATATGTCATATTGCCCTCATTTATCTTAAATACTATAAGGCAGGAGAAGAACCAAAAAAACAAAGTACCTTTTAGAATTGTGTTATAATAAATGCCATTTCAATTTAACTGAGCCTGACATTCAATCTTTTAATGGTTTCAGTTCCTTCATTTCTATCATTGAAAGAAAAGAAAAAAGGAAATCAAATATATACCATAAATGTCTGGATCTTCAATTGGGCCACTACCTGTACATGGAGAAGAGAGAAGAGAAAAAAAAAAAAAAAAAAAGCCTTTGTAAGTAGATTGGAAATGCTGAAGAGTAACGGTTTCTTTAGGATTTTTTTTAAGAGTTGACATGTTATTTGCAATAGCAATGATCAGTACCTACACAAATGCAAAGCAACATCAATATATTGCAGTATCTGTTTATCAGATTACATTTACAACCATTTTAGAGCTATCCCAAAGCTTAATATTTTGCTTCATGTGAAACAGCTAATGCACAGGCCACTAGCTCTGGCAAAGGCAGGTGTATTTCCCAACCAGCAAGATTCTGCTTTCTATTCTTAATGTATACCTGGAATAAGTGAAACAATTACTATTCCTTTTGAAAAATCAGTGGTAAAATTCTCCCTGACCTTGAGTGGAAGCAGACTTCAGTGAGCATTAGCAATCACTGATTTTCACCTGGTCAAAAAATTTTGCTATTAAATCACCATGAGAGCAAACCGATTTAGCTGTGAGCTGGCAAGTTATGGGCTAGAGGTAGCAATGACCTAAGCAGCCCCATTTCATTCAGTCTGTAAAAGGATGCTTCCAAGAAGCCAGCTGCATGGCTGATACACAGACAGAACTCTTACCAAAAGTCAGATGTCTCGGAAGCCAGCCTTTACACAAGCAAATGGATACCCGTCTAGTCTACACTTTTTCTACATTTTCTTTGTTCCAGTTTGCAGCTTTTTCTAATTACTGCACATATGTAAGGCTGAGCACATATATGAGTATAATGCACAGAACGCCCACTGAAATTAGCGTACTATTAGACTATTCACGCTTTGAAAGACACGTGTTATATTTCAACACACCCATTCCTTCTGGTCTATAACATATTTATAGCATAGCTTATGTAGCAGGTTCCTAATCACCTCTTCCATATTTTTACTCTTTCTTTTTGTTGGTTTGGAAATAAAATTAACAGGAAGTTAAAATCTCTGAAGATGAATCAAGCTTCAAAAGGCATAATTCTGTTTATAGTACTGTACAGTAAATCCATAGCAGTGGCATTACTGTGGCATAAAGCCACTGTGAAGTATGACCAGAACACCATTGTTTCTGCTTATGTCAACAGTGTGAGAATCTATGCTGAAAAATCTAAAGAGTTGCAATCTATTTGCAGAATGGCAGCAGACAATTAGGTTTATTTTTAAATGCATTTGAAGATACTCTAGTATCCAGAGATATAGGTTAACAGACTCTGTAAGAACCGTCATGTCAATCTGCAGAAATAAATAACAAGTGAAAAATGCTTGTACTGTCTGTCCTCGAGCAACTTCTGACAGGGGTTTTCTGTCCATAAAAGTTCATGTATTCAGTTCTTCCAGTATAAAACTGCTGAAAGACAGTATTTCTAATTTACGTTCTGTAATATGAAGGGGGGAAAAAAAAAACAAGAAAAAAAATTCCCAGGCCTGTATTCCTGAGTTAAATGGCAGCATTTTTGTTACTGTTTACTGGAATTGGGATAAAGTAATCAGATTAGTTTAACCCCTAATTTCTGCTAGGGATATAAACTAGGAAGTCACCAATGCCATTCAAATAGCTTTTATATAACTAAATAATTCACATCAAAAAAAGTTGCAAAAATCAAGATGCTAGAAAAACCCCAAATTTCTATTTAGTATTCCCTACATAAAAACATATCTACTCAATCATCAAAACATCAGTTGAAGCTATTTTAATATTAAACTTCACCACAGTAATTTAGCATGTTTACACACAATTATTTTTAAGGAAAAGACAGAATAGCATTGTTGTTTTGGTCCCCGTTAGAACAGGTTGTTGTGTAAATAAACTATTAAGAGACTTATCCTATTCACTCATCTTTATAAACTACATCAACTACACTTGGTTTGCTTGCTTCTTTCTTTATAAAGTTGACATTTTCAAAATAAAGCAGCAGCAAAAGACTCAATCCAAAAACATACTTCTGCAAAACAGCCCCATGTTGTTATGCTGTACAAGCAAGATGCTACTTCTAAGGTATATTTAACATAATCTTTTACAACATACTATGTTACTTGGATTCCTTCAGCTGAGCTTTAGAGTAGAGAGCTGGTAGATGAATAAGCTTAGTTAAAAACACTTATTACCAGTAAAAATCTCTCCCACATTCATGAGCTGTTTTGGATCAACTAGAGAACATCCTCCAGAATAAAACATGAACATCTCTTGCTTGGTTTGCTGCAGTGTAGTCTCAAATAATCAAGTCATCCTCAGCAAGAAGAGCTTCACAGGAATCCAAGAACTTTAGCAGATTAAAGCTAGTTAAAAATCTAGCTAATAGAGTATGAAATTTATTCTTCCAGGCCTTCGTATTTAAAGCAAAGTCTTAATTTACAACATTAACTGTGTTATCATTAAGTCAATCCAACTCCCACTGTGGTACATGCTTTCCTCTCCTTTATGCCTGCACCCTCAGACCAGTGAAAAATGTTCTGCAAGGAGCATGCTGGAAGTTGAGAGCATCTTAGCACAAATCGTGTCTTCTTTATGTTTTATGCAACTCTTAAAGTGGAGTATTACACTGTTGATGATAGAACGTGCTTCAGACTTAGTTGTATTTAATCTAGGTAGACATATGGATTATAGGTGAGGCGTTTTTTTTTCTAAATTTTCTTTGTTTTTACCTTCAGATCATTTGCCTGTAAGTGATGCAATAACCAGAGAATCAGTTTAAAGCTCAGTGAGTATACCCCACCCCATGAAACATCAGGACTGGTATTTAATTCAGTCATGAAGGCATGGAAATGAACATAATACCAGGGCGTGGGCCTTAATCTTTATGCTTCATTGTAGAATCTGTGGGCCAAAAGAAGAAACTACACAGTAACGATAGCACTGAAAAAGCCTTTTAAGGGTTTGAAAAAGCCTGACAGTGCTTTAAATAGTAATAGTTTAAAACAAAAATTGTAATACAATGCACAGAGGATTCTAGTTTTTTAACATTTGCTTTTACGCCAGCTTTAGTGGAGGAGACAACAATCTTGTGACGTTTTCCAAAGCTGAATGCCATGACACTTATAGGAAAAAGCCCCACTAATAAAAACAATATTGAGGAGGCTAAGTACATAAGCAATTTTCCCTGTTGTTAATTTTTAAGGCCGGTTTGATGCCATCCACTATTCATGAACTGATTTCTAATGCAGTTACATCCTGTCAATACATAAACCAGTTTCCTCTATATTCTTTTTTGTGAAGCTTAACGCACCACAGAGCTTGGGAAATGCTTAAGGAACACAGCACAGATTATCTTGGGAGACTTATATTCCTTATGAGTAAAAAGAGGATGGAAAAATAAATAATGCTGTCTTTCTAACTTGGAGGATACCTACCATTCTAATTACTGATTTAAAAGGCCACAGCTGGGAAATTGTCAATGTACAGGGGACAAGCGTAAAGGAAAAACAGAATAGTAAAAGTGACACCTAAATGTATTAGAGGAACTGTTACTCTGTTAAGAAAGTGAAGCCAGATTCATGTTAAATAATCAGGGTGTAAGAGAACTTCCATTGTACACAGAACATCTATGAGGTGAACTCTTTTACTGAACTGTTATAATGCAGTATTAGAGGATGCCAGTAGCTGAAACCATGGCATGCTTCTGTAATGAGTCTATTTAAGGAAGAACTCCAGAGAAAAAAAAAGAGGGGAGAGGAGGCCTAAGGACAGCAAGAGTAAATAAAGCCTGGTTGTGTCACCTCCTCACCATCTCCTTCTAAGGGTGGGAAAGCAGAAGACCTGCCATCTCTCTCCCCACAGCAGACTGAGCTGATAGGGAAAAACATTAAATACAGACCATATTTTTACTGTCTGTAGCCTGCAACGTAGGAAAGAGAATGTAAATATTCCCTTTTTTTTCTGCCAGATAACATTAGCGCTGCACACTGCTGTTTGAAAAAAGAAGGCAGCTATTTATATCCTGAGGCTAAAAAGCCAAAGGTACAACACATGTTCATATTTTCAGATATGACTGTGCAATTATTTGGGAAAAAACATGCTTTTATTTCCACTCCAGCTGTGCAAGATCCACTCAGAGTTTTTTCCACATACAGCAATATGCTTACATGTATGCCTTCTTACTCTTACAGACACCTCACATGTGGTTTTGAAGATGTGGGGAAAGATCAAACCACGGTGAACATCAATCACTTACAGTAGTCCCCGCAGTTCAATGAGTTAGTCCACCTTGAGCCTGCTCACACATTTAGGAGGGCTGAGGCGGAGTCTTTAGAGCAACTGAATATGCATATATTTAGCAGCAACCATCCTGAGCATGGAGGTGCCCAACCTCCACGGAAACCAATGGGAATTGGACATCGAAATGCCTGTGAGGACCTAAGACCTTGTCCATCCTGCCTCTGGGTTACTTGTTTTCTCTTCAGCTCCCTCTGGTGCCCTAAACAACATATTACCATCAACTCACTAGGCTGCACTATTGACTTTGCAACAAGGCACTAAATGCCACATAGGCATCCCCCACGTCCTTGGATACTGCCTAGTTGCATTCATATGCAGTGTGGAAAACTTAGAGAGTGGCTGGGCTGGCACTCAGTGCTTTTCAGGATCAGAACTGAGGCTTGAGAAAACACTTCAGAAACAGCAACCTTTTACTAGGCTTAGCTGGCACTGTGGATGGTTACTCAAAGGGAAGATCTACAGAGCACTAGCATGGCCTCCCTTGAGAAGCAATAAACAAGAAGAATAGGCTCAAGAAAAATGTTATGTTACAACTAATCTTGAAGACATTCATTCAGACAGGGGAAAAAATAAAAAGCATAAAAAAAGTTTTCTCCAAAAGAGCTAAACTGGCCAGATGAACTGCCTCCACCCTCTCATCAATTTGCAATTGCTAACATTAAAAAACAAATTAAAAAAATTATACTCACCATCTCCAGGAACTGACATGAAATGAGCATCAACCCGCTTTTCATCCTCTCCATACTCGTTCTTTGCCAGTAAGGTATAAGCACCATTATTCAGGTGGGTAGGATTGTCCAGCTGAAGGCAGCCATGGTATTCACTTTGATTGATAACATGTATTTTAGTACAGATGTATTCAGACTCATTCAGTATAGCCCCTTCATAGAACCACTGCAGTGTGGGCTTAGGGTTCCCTTTCACAGTGAATGGAATACACCAGTGGTGGTCCGGGGTTGGAGATTCAATAAATGTGATATTTGGTGCAACTATATTGGAAAAAAGAGTGAAGAACATCAGAATGTTCTGAACATGTCTTTCCTCCCTTCCCTCCCTCCTCACAAAGTTATCAGTGAAGTATTTTTCATTCATCAGTATGAAAGTATGTTATTAGTAGGAATTATACCTATTTGGAGGATACCCACCTGCTCTGCCTAGGATACTATACTCACAACTGAAATGAAGCCCTTCTTTATAAAGAAAAAAACCCCACCTAGTTTCAGGCAAAGACTGAACACCCGTTAAATCACTTAAACCCTGTAAGGTGTGGGAAATTCAGTCGCTGGATCACTGAGAAGGGGGAGAGAGACATCTTAGCTTTACTCTGCTGAAAAAACGGTGCAGAGGAGGGCTGAAGGAACACAACAGTATTGAAAATATTTAAAAGTTGGCCAAAAGCAAGTAGTGCTGGAAATATATTCAGCTAGGAATCCAAACTTTCAGATTATTTTCTTCACAGAATCAAAGCCAGAACAGATGACTTAATTCCCTGGATTCTTCTGTCAGGGAAAGACGGTTTTCTACTACACATTTTCTCATTCTTTTTTCAAACCTGCTAAATGCCTCAAGTTTACAGATTTGTTCTGTTTCCCTCAGGAGATTATTCCAACACCTTGCCCATTATTTCACTATTGGGAAATTTTCCTTGATACTTATTCTTAACTGCATCCAATTTCATCTAGTTATATTCCCTTTTATCACTCATAAAAGTGCCAAGCTCAGAACCTCATTTACCTCGTTCAAACATTTCTGGTTTATGTCCCTTCCCATAGCTATTACATATCCCATTTCAACCTACAAACCTACATCTACAGTGATTTTTCTAGTTTACTCTGTCATGAGCACATGCTGAACAAACTTTGCCATCTACAAAGTGGTCCATTCCCATCTTCAATTAAACAGAGGGTTGCAACTTGTGAAAACATGCTGTCTAGTTCACGTAAAATGAATTAAGGCTGGAACTTAGATCTAAAAATCTAGTGCCTCTACACTACATGTCCCTTCCCTCTTCCTTGGCCCAGACAAATAAGTATATTATTCAAAGCTATGACAAATAAATTTACATCTGGCAGTACAAATGTTGCAAGTGTGTGTTATTTTTTGAACAAAGAAGTTGTTGCTTTAGGTAACAAAAATGTAAACATTCATAGTGTCTTATAATTAAACCTATGAGCCTTTTGATGTGTTCACACTTCTTAATTCCTAAGACAGTATGCATGTACATGCACACCATTACAAAACTTCCCACACTGACAGTGCCATTGAGTATTCTGGGTTTCAGACCTTTACTTACAGATCATTCTAACTGGAAGATAAAGCATTTAGAAATACATTTTTTGAGGAATGCAGGGCTGAAAAAGATAAATACAGCAACTGCTGGTTGGGCCACTCCCAGAATTAACTGTAGTAGATAGATCAGATGCCTTAAGGGTTTTTGTTTCAACAACCTGCGTACCCAAAAAATACTTATACTCAAAACAGTGGCTGCCAGTGCAGTTTGGCCTCGGGAGCTGCATGGAGGCCTGTGTACGTACAGAATACTGTGAGCTCAGCAGAGGCTTGGTCCTCTCCCACAATGTTCTCTGCTACGCAGGAAATCCACAGTCCGCTGTCCATGGATGAAACATTCTTTATGGTTAGCGAGGCAGGGTTCTTACTTGTGTCACTCTACAAGCAATCAGAGAAACATGGATGTGTCAACCGCAGCATAATGAACAAGGGAGAGGGAGGGAATCACTGGCCACAGCTGAATGGGACTTTTCATTTTCCCTTCCTTTTAGCTGTATCAGTCCACAATTAATCAAAGCCTTGCTTTAGTGTCTTATCCAAACAGACACAAAACACCTACAGAACCAACTGTAGCTGGCAGTGGCAGTGGATTCAAAGCCCCAGAAGTTCTGCTACAAACACTGTACTCAACCCTTTTTCTGTCCTGTCACTTTCACTTTTTTTTTTTTTTTTACACACTTCTCCCCTTCTACACAAACGTTTTTTTCTCTACCCATACCCTTGCTCATCCTTCTCTTCCACTTCATGACCGATTTCTATGGTCTATCCCTGCTCCCTTTGAGCTTTTTCTTCCCACCTATATTCTGTTCCATCCTTGCTTTACTCTTCCTTTTGTCTCCTTCCTTTACACTTACACAAGACATCTGTTCCCACCCTGCCTTCTGAGCTCTGCTGCACCTTGACAACAATGTGTCTTCTCCCTCCTCATTAGCCAAATTTCTCTTGAAAACTTCTTCTCATGAAACCTTCCATGAAAAATTACATACCTTCTGCTACCTCAGCTACTCCCCAAGTACTGTTTTATGTGTTTAAGCACCTGCTAATTAGGAATTATGGTGTTTAGAAATCTTGATTCTTACAATTCTTAGAAAGCTCAGTGCCCATTTACAGCCTTAAATGCCATATTGAATATGCAGCTATGCAACACTGAATAAAGCAAATAGGGCTGAATTACCAAAAAAAAAAAAAAAAAGGTAGCAAAGGTAGCTAGTTGTTAAAGACTCTTGCTTTCTTAAATCAGGTCCTTCATCTGATCTACAAATAACTACTATTTCCATACTTAAATTTTTCATAAAATGCAGGACTATTTTCTTAAAAAGGAAAGGAACCAAAACACATTCAGAAAATAAACAATAATCAAGATAATTTTTAAAAACTACTTTTGAGGTACTTTTCTTAGTGTACACATACACCTCAGTGCTGCACAGGACACAAACAAGTAACACACTGCATTTGTAAAACCCCAGTGACTTCCAGTGGTAGTCAATGGGGGCACACAGGAATGCTCCTGCATACAGTCCTGTGGGACCAGAATTTTGAACCTCGAGATGACACCTTAGCTCCACTGAGTTAAACGTCCCTTTGATTTCAGTAGGACACTAGGAGAAGTGAGTGGAAAAGCAAACACCCCGTTACACATTTCTCTGTGTGCAACTCCCAGAAGTCAGCAGTGCTCAAAGATGGACTGAAAGCAGAGAGGCTCAATTGCAGGCTCAGGGCTGAAACCTAGAGCAAGAAAAATCTAACCAACATCAGTCGGATTATACATCAGCACAGAAACTGAGAGCACACAACTAGCTCTGCAGGATTAGAGTTTAGTTTTAACTTTTGTTAATGCCTCTCTCTGTAAAACAGGAAAGAGAGAGAAAACAGGCAAAAGCAGCATAGGAGGTGAAGAAAAGGGAGGCAGAAACTGAGATGTGAAAGGAAACCCAAAACAACGCTCACAGAAAAGAGAAGGATAGCTGTGAATGGCAAATGAGGTTTAAAAGGCACTCAATTCTTCTGCTACTGAAAAGACTACTGTGCTCCACGGCTAAGGTTGTAGCTAGCCTATATTATGAGCCCCTCTGAAATCTCAAAATGAAGTTATGCAAGGACAGAATATTTCTGGAAAGCTTGAAGCAAACTGACCATGGCGTTTCAAAGACAGGAGGGTTAAAACACAAGATGATCTCACTTTTTGAACAGCATCCCACATTTGTTTTGGCTCATAACTCAAAATTGGCATATGTTCCCCAAACTGTTTTAATATCTTGTTCTTGATGACGACTGATGCCTTTGGGTAGCAGATTAGAGAAAATTTTAAAAATAAAACTAGAGCTCTGCAGAGCTCTTACTTACGAGAGCTGAAAGACAGGGTAGTCAAATTCTATACAGGCCTGATATAATGACCTCAAGGAAGAAAGCACAAAGGTTACAAGACTCCAGAGGTCCTGTCTCTTCCACACTGCAGGAACAGTTTTGGAAGTACACATCCCGCTCTCTGTACATATCAGGAAGCTTTAGGCAGTCTGTACCATCATGAATGTAGGAAAGCCAATGCCATAAAACTGTGTAAATAATGGCAATTTAAGAGTTCAGAAGCTGCTTTTTGAAGATCTGCTTAATGCCTCTCCTTATCAACTTAATCATTCTATCTACAGAGTGCATAGTAGGGACACAGAATACAAAGATCTCAGAAATCAAAATTCCCCCTGCCTAGATGACTTTATTGAGGAAACCTCTTCATACTTCATTAAAAAAACCTCTCATTCTTTTTAGTAAAACCTCCACTTAGTTTCCAAGGCTTCCTGTTGTTGCTTTGTTTGTTGAAGGAAAATTAAACAAGCTACAAAATACTTACAAATTCCAACACCCCAAGCTTTTGGCATGAAAATATAACAAAATTAAAAACACAAAGCTTTTTTCATTATTAGGGTAGATTAGATTTATTCTCTGTATGCAGGTATCAGTGATAATAAGAAAGCCCTTGTGTTTCAGTATCCCAATTCACACATCACTTCCAGAAATTTACAGTACTCTCATTTACAAGTGAACATCCAAAAACCAGAGTGCAAACCAGGGTCCTGAGGAGCGAGTGTGGCACTGTGGCAGTCAGCCCGGATTTAAAGTTACCTGAAAATAAATGTAATCCCAACACTAATTTTTTTATTTCGTCTTTTTAATAAAAAGCTAACTGAAGCTGTACATGAGCCTTTGTTCCATCCTCTAGCAGGTATGTCCTGACTCTGAACTGTCATGTATTTTAATATGAAACTTACCTCATGGTTTGAAACAAGATTAGTGAGCACCCAGGACACATTAGGGGGTGGCCCGCCAGTTGTATCACAGTACAATGTGATGCTCTTTCCTTCCACCACGGTGATGTTGTAATTGCTTAAGTTGGCTGAGGGCAAGTCTACAACAGAAACAATAACAACAAAAAAAACCCACATGCATTTGTATTTGGCAGAAATAGACACCACTTAATTCTAAGGAAGCTGTACAAATGCAAGCAAAACCACCACTAAAACAGATATTCACTGTGGTCAGTTACTATTCTGTCAGGGAGTACAAACAGCATCTTTGGAAACATAACTACCATCTTTAAGCTGCAACGTAACATTTTCCTGCGCCTCCTCCACTTCACATCCTAAGAAAACATTACTGCATGTGGAAATAAATTAAGCTAATTATATTGGGAAATGTTTCAGATGGGCAAACAGAAGTTATCCTAAATTCAGATTTTAACTCCAAAATCAAAAAAACCCTTCCCTTATTCTTTAAAACAGGAAATTTAATCTGTTTCTTTGTAACAGCTGCAAAGCAACCTCTATTTTCCATGAACCAGCATTGTGATATTCCCACTGTTCTCCACACCACTAACAGGAAAATCCCATCAGCTCCCAGTATCACACAAGAGATTGCAGCCCTCTCTCTCGTACAGAGACACAGCTCACAGAAAGCAGGGCAAAACCTAGATCTTAACTACAAAGTGAGAGAAACAGAGCATTGAACAGATCAAACCAGAGGAAAGAAAGGACAGAAGACAGGGTTAGCAATTGCACAAAGCTGCTACCCAAGGCACCTCAGCAGACTTAGCTATTGCCCTCAGGAAAGCAGAAAAGCAGTGAGATGGTACCGCTCACCAGGGAACAAGTCCAGATTTTGCAAGAGTCAGGATACCCCTCCATCTCACAAAGCTATAAATCACTCTGTGTCTCATTCTTCAGCACCCAAATCAATGGATGTTCCCAAAAAGTAAAATACATACTGAATGCTTACAAAACCAGAGAGAATTACAGACCACCCTCTTCAAAAATAATGCCAGCAATATCAGTAGACTTCAGGCACAGAGGACCTCACGTGTCATATTTATTTACATAGCAAATAATTACGCAACATGCTAGAAACGTATCTTTCTTAAAAGATACCATAAAATCATTGGTCTTGGCCTCCTTTACGAGGCATTTCTCATCAACTGTTCCAGGGAAGTTTTACTTGCAATTTATCATCTCAAATAATTAACGTTATCCGCTGTTCTGGATATGTATCCATGATCTTGCAATGACTTTCCTTTTTCTGAAAAAACAGTTTTCTTTTTTTTTTTTTTTGTTTTGTTTAGGTTTTCAGCTAAGAGTACAGTAGTTTCATTACGGACTTGCAGGTACAGAAGTTTAGCAAAGACTTTTCTGCTTACATAAAAAGTTCCACACAATTAGCCATCAAATCAGTATGAACACATTAATATGTTTGCTAGAACTTGAATAGAAGCTGTATGTATTGGAAATCTCCCTTTAAGTTTAATTAGTTCAATAAAAATTAAATGAGAGGAAGTAATACCAAAGAGAAGATAAGTAATTTTCCAGGCAATGCTTTCTTGCCTGATAAGATTTGAAGATCAGCACAAATACAATAACTGCTTAGGCAATTCTTCCAGTGCTTTATGTAGTGCTGTAATATGATTCCCATCACAGGCATCATAGATTTCTTCTATTATGTTCACTTTATAAATCATATGTTGAAGTTTATTGAGACAGAGCTGGACAGTTTGTACGCTTTGATGCAGTAATCTGCTAGCGAAGGTAGCCATCTGCTCTCGCCTGCTGTGAATTCAAATCTCAGCAGTGTCTGTCAACTAGCTGGGCAGGAAATAAAACTAATCTTAGGGAACATTTGGATATTAATTATGCTGGTTAGGGAACAAGGAGAGAAGTAATGAGATCATTTGCTTTATAAAGTTACACTTCCACACCACCTCTGAAAACCACTCCAGCTACTCTTGCCAGACGTGAACATGCAAAGAGATTAAAGCTCCCCTATTCTTCCTGGCCCTAGCACTTGGGACAAGGTCAACATGACAGATTAGCATTTCACTGTGCCTGCACAGTTCCTACTAACACATCATTTCACATGAAACCTCTCATGTAAGCAAAAATAAAAACAACTTCGGTCCCCTAGAACCCTCCTTTAATAGCTATTAAGTTCTGAGACAACTTCATCCTGCAGTGTGTTTATTTACATGATAGGCAACTGAAGTTTAATTCCTCTGGTACTGGTTCTGATTCCCACCCAGAATTAGGTCTAGTTCTGTTTATTTGCAAAAGTATGCATGTGTCATGTTGGTGTTATATCTCTGAGGGAAACAGCTACATCATGCTTGCATCCTGCCAGAAGGTTATAAAATAATAGCACTTATTATTTTATAGATTCCTAAAGTCACACTAAAAACCAGTTGCAAGACCCAGCAGAAAACATTGCAGCAAAAAAGTGTAAGTAGAATGGAATGGAATGGAATGGAATGGAATGGAATGGAATGGAATGGAATGGAATGGAATGATCACATTATTGCATGTGTTTTCCTTTAGTCCCTCTCCCAGTTACAAGTGGTGGGTGGGAAACGCATGCAAGAATTGCCTTGGGATTCATTTTTTCTGGTTGGATATCTTGAGTTAGTGAACTTTAACTACAAGGTCATTTTGACTTTTATTTCCAGTGACACCCAGACTGCTCCACAGCAGAATACACACTACTTGAGATGTTGCTCTCTTTGCAAAAAGCAAACAGTAGCATAATACCTCATATATAGAAAATGTGATATGCTGGACTTAACCAATAAAACAATGAGACTAAGCAGCAAAACCTGTACTGAAAAATAACTTTATTTAAAAGAACACAGTGCACCCTAACAGACACATGTGCTCAGTATGTATGCTGAGTGTGAGACCATTTATAAGAGTCCGTAGCATTTTGACACCTACACAATTACAAAGATATCCAACCATGCTGCATTTACTCCTGACTTAATTTGGTTAAATACAGTGTTTTAGATGACTATCATTTCTGTTGATATGGATGTACATTCTAAAGGACTTTGTATACAGTAATTGATACAAGCAGTCAGACAACAGGTTCAAATACTTCTGTATACTGCCAGCATAGTAAAAGTTTAGACTGTAGCATAAGAGCCCATGCAAGGTAGACATGACATCATCTTTCCACAAGACTCATCTTGATATCTGTCAGAGAGAGATTACCCTGCGCCCCAAAGCTCAAAACACAATCTCTCTTCAAACTTTGATAGCATTAATTATTATAATTCTGGATATTAGTAATAAACCTGCTAGTATCCAATTTCTTTTTTAAGTTTGCTATATTCTGGGCCTTAATAGCCTTCTGCAGGAATGAGTTTCACAGGTGTACTGTCCCAGCTGTATACAAGAGCCAGTCCCTTTTACCAGTTCTGAAATTTGTCTGTGACATTCAAATTCATTGAGTGCTCTCCTGTTCTGACAGGACAGAGAAAAGAGAGTTTCTGAATGATCTGTTTAAGACCACAGTTTGATTTCACTTTCTGAAGTCCCCTTTCTTCTCAAAGAAGCAGCTTTTCAATCTCTAAAAAAAAATGGGAGGACAGAACTTGCTACTGAAAATTTTAACTGTCATGTAGAGAGTAATGCAGTTCAATAGATGAAAGCATACACTAAAATCCATGTGTTTCATTGTGTATGGGTGTATAACAGCTATGTTATTTCACCACATACGGAGTATCTGTTCTCGTATTTGAATTGATAACACTTTATTTGAGGCAGCTCTGGATTAGAATAAGCAGTCACTTCCCTCACCCCAGCAAGACTGGACACAACAGAGATGAGCAGGAACAACTCACTTACGTCAACTGAGTTTCTCCAAATATCATCTCATGCTTTAGAAGGAACAAACCCTCCTTTAAGTAAGGGAGGGGGGAGCTATTTACCTTCACAGACCACCATTAGTGCAAACTGATGGCCCGAGGCCATCAAACAGTGGAAACTATCACTAATGGTCATCAAACTAGCCATTCCCTAGCACCACTAGGGAATGGCTCACATCCTCACAGTGCACAGCTGGGACTTCAGCAATCACAAAAGCAAATACTTTGGATGAAATTTTCAAAGGTTACTACAGCATTTGGCTACACAATTGTCAATGGAAATTAATAAAAAGAACATGCCTAAATTCCTACAGGGCTTCCAAAGTCTTCTTGCTGTGACTTAGTACTTTCTACAGAAAGCTTATACTGGCCTTGGTAGAACCAGACTGTTATTACTATACGTCAAAGGAAGGATATGACCTAATTAAGAAATAACTGAATATTAATACAAACTCTGTAGTCTAACTCAACTCTCAGCACCAAGCTAATGCTCTAGCCATTCCACTACAGCAACCAAGAAGAAAGTCTTAAGCAAGGAGAAAAGAATCCACCATTACACCCAAGATGTAGTTTCATTGGTTAATGGTCCACACAGTTACAAAACTCTTTACAAAATTACTTCCAGATTGACTTTTTCAGCTTCAACTTTCATCCATTCAGTTCTGGGATTTGTTCAGCTGCTCAAAAACTTCCGCCAAAAAATTCTCTCAATATGGTCAATTAGTGTCACTAATACCTAAGAAATGATACGATGAAGAAATGAGCACCTGAGAGAATACCATAAATCCAATATTGCCTTCATTTATGCCACCCTTTGCACACTAAGCCCCTGATTTTCGTCGGCCTGTTGACATACTCCCAGGAGTCTAGCTATGATGCAGAGTCACTAAATGGTTTTCAATGTGGCTCATGATATCTCTTTTCTGCTTGGCACATTTTTGCAGGTCAACCTGTTCTGTGATAAGAACAAGCAGTTACCAAGAAAAAAATTGACATTTTTTTTTTTCTCAAAGCTAGCTAACTGCACCTGAATTTTAATAAGGTCATTTTAATCCTGACCTGAAATCCTTAATTATTTTTTTAATAAATACATCAGACCCAGAATAATTAAATTAATACTGAGCCAGCAACCATCTATCCAACTGAACCACATAAAGGCAGAGTACCAGAACCACTGATTTAGAAAATATCCCCTGTAATTCTTAAGATACAGTGGTCCAAATCCA